ATCATCATCCTCATCATCATCACCGTCGTCATTATCATCATAATAGTGGGTACTTGTAAATCGCGCATGTCTCTTGAATGAATTACTGCTTAGTCAGAAATAATGAGCTAATTACTTCATAACCCATTTTGATTAAATAAATCGTAGATGAAGATTATGTCCCAGTGATATTGTATAAAGGAAATACCTGTATTTAATGTTTTGCAGGAACTCTGTATAAAAATGTCCTTTTTTGCCTTTATTTATTATATGTTAATACTCTGATCTAGTCCATCCTGATAGAAGGAGAAATACGAGAGAAACAAGTCAGTGGAAGTTTGAACAAAAGCCGATGAAAAATAAGAAAGTTATGAATTTTTGAAGGTGCGATGACAGTCAAACACAAATTGGCAACTTTGTGACGTATCTTTGCCACTTATGCAAACAAAGTAACTGGGATTTACTAGCACCAAAGGGAACTGGACTTTTATCCTTTTTTTAAAATAAACTCTTGCCCTTTTCATAAGATGTTTTAAGCCCCACTGTCCTACGTGTAGCTACTTGCTCCCTCTATATAGAAAACTTCCCCAATCGGTGCCTGTTGGTCCCCCATGATCCTCTTTTTATTATGTTAGTTGAGAGCTGAGTTTATGAGATAGCCACCTGTCAGTGACCTCGCTGTGTGGTCTAATCCCTTCTGGCCCAGTAGTATTGACGGTCTTTAAATATAGTATTAAACATAAGATAAAGTAGAAATGAGTGAATTGAGCCTGCATGAATATTGACAGCCTTAATTGAAAGCACACACCAAAATCTTCAACACAAACTGACCATGCTGATTATCGTTTTGGGAATCATAAAGGTGATCGAGCTCGTTTTTTTTAAATTTTGTTACCCACTTTCCATGAACCTGTAGAAAGCAAGTTGATAACAGAATAATTCAATTGTATATTAAGTTTTGCCATGCTTTATTCATACATGAATCAATCGCAGCACCCCAAAGAGCGATCAGAAACTGATCCCTCGTGAAACATTCCCCTCTAATATTGCATTATTAGTCGCCTTGAAATACACGCAATTTTGTGTAAAGGTCCATTGAGCCCCAGCGACGTCATCTGCTTGGGATCATTTAAGAATTTCAAACATTATTAGACAACAATGCGGAAGAAAGCAGAGAAATAGGAGAAGCAGACTGGTGAAGGTTTGAATGAAATTGGACAAAAAATGAGAAAGCTATGACTTTTTGAAAGTTGTAATCGAATTGGTTGAATCTGTAATACTGAGACGTAGTGCCGAATAACCTTCCCGTTTCAACACACAAAAATTGCCACTTCTTTTCCATAATAATTATATGACTTAGCAGCTCTTTTTTTTTTGAGGACCTAAAATAATATGCTATCCATTATATATTTTAAAAGTGAGAAGGCTATGAGGAAAAAAAACAGAGATTAATGATATTTTTGTGCACGAAAAAGGGGAGAGATGATCATGACTACATCACAAACCACTGACAAAAATTACCAAATTGAGATTCGCACAGCTGTATGATCTCAATATGTAAACATTCATTTTGTTATTTGTCCGATTTATTTCAAACATTCTGTATCTGTAGATTTTCTGTTTCCATAGAAATGAACATTTTAAAAGTATTTGATTGCCCCTTTAAATGGAGGCGAGATAGCTAGGTGGTCCTGGGTTCGAAACCGGGTCGATGCGCTTGTGTCCTTTGGTAAGGTATTAATCCTCATTACCAAGTCTCTCGGAGAGGACTGAAAGCCGTATATCCCTTAGTTGCTTACTTAATACAAGCAGGTGCTTTCTGAACAGTTAAAAAATAAAACAACCAAAAAGGGCTAAGGGCGTGCCAAAGAAAAATCATATGGATATAATAAAAATTATATCTTCGAATTACTTTTTTCTGATGGGAAGGATAAAGGATGTTTGTTAATTACCTTTTTTTTATTTTTTTTTATTTGATAATTTCACTTTTCGGTGTATATATACATATTTTTAAACCGACATACAAAACTATATATATATACATATATATATATATATATATATATGTTAATCACTCGCTTTGTCCTCATGCAAAATGTTAAGTTGATACTCGGGAAAGGGACCTCTGTCTCAATTCACTGAAAACATTAACAGTATATTTTTATATCAATACTTTGCAGGTTGCAATCTTTATGTTCAAATACTCCAATAACCTACTTCCTCCGGCATTCCACACCCTTTTATTTTTAAAAACACAATCCATTCTTATCCGACACGAAACTCTCAGAACTTTCATTTGATATAACCCCTAATTGCTCATTTCGCATCAACATATCCGACACAACGGCCCTGACATAGGGAATAGTCTCCCAACTACTGTTAAATCATGTACTACGATATATTCTTCGTAGGATGTAGCGTACATGTAGATTGTTATCAGCTTACAAGTCATAATTTAATGAGCGCTCCAAAACATGTACATGAACACACTTGTACGTGCACATACATAACAAAGTTCAGGAAAAACATACACTTAATACATTGTTTCCCCTTTTTTACTTAACGCATTTTATGTTATGCGTGAAGAAAAAAAGATTTACTTCATTATGTGGATGTTACAATTGATTTATTGCGGAATATACTATATGTTGTATACGTTTGGTCGCCCATAAAGGTTCCTTTTCCTGAGGCCGCAATTACTTTCAAGCTTTAGCTTAAGATGGCGGTCTCCTGCGTTTTTCAATGTTGAATGATTTGTCAACTGTTTGTTTTTTAAGTAAAATTATTTGTTTGAATTATATTATGGTATGATTATATATGTATTTTAACTTTTGATACTAATATGTATGTACTTAATTTGTATATTACGTTTAATTATGTTGACAAATGCAGAAATAAAATCAAACAAACAAACTTTGATCCCATTTTGTCACCAATATTTATTTTCCTAATTTCCAGCATAATAATAATAATAATTCCGATTTATATAGCGCTTAATGCATCTACGATGTCTGTATTAAGCGCTTTACATATACACTATATTCTATATATACTCACCACCCAAAATTATTTACAAAATAAATACATGAGAGTTTAAACACACAAATAACAAAATAAGAAGGGGAAGATAATTTTGTTTGAATGCAACTGTATGAAGGGCGAGTGTGAGTTTATCTGCATTTGCGGGGCCCTTCTGAAGACAAAAAAAACAAAATATGGAGAAGAAAAAAAAAAAAACCAACAACAAAACAAAAAAAATCAAATATGTGTGACCGATTAAATAAACACAGTTCAATCAAATGAAAAATGTATTGCCTTGGGATAAGAGATATAACCTACCAGATATGTAACCATATTGGAAAAGTATTTTGCCCCCATTTCGTCCAATATCATACTTCTCTCTTGAATGCCTTCAAATAAGAGTTTGAATTTTCTGTCTTGATCTTATGATCATAACCTAAGTTTTGTTTGTATTTAGTACGAAATTATTCTTCTGAGTCCAAGAATAAACTTCATATAATGCTTGATTCAACTTTGATTAAATTTCAGGAACTATCGACTCATGTACCGATAGGGTTTCATCGTCGGCAAAAAGAAAAACGTATCCACTAGTTTATGAAAATTGTCTTTGTGAATTCTTTTGACAGAAGAATTTGTCCCCAGATATACGTGTTTAGCCCAATTATCTGTCATACAGAGTAGTGCAGTTTCAAATGAGTGATTGGGGCGGAACCCAAATTGTCGATCGGTGAGAATATGATGCCCTAATAGATATTCTTGAAGTGCAGTACGTACAGCTATCTCTAATATCTTAGATAGAATTGACAGTAAGGAAATAGGTCGATAATTTTCGGCATGTTGTTTATTTCCAGATTTCAAAATAGGCTTTTTTCGTGCGGTCTTCCATACATTAGGAAAAACACCCTTTAACAGTGACAGATTGAAAAGGTAAACAAGAGACTTTGAAACTCATTTCCTACTTTTTCTTCTTCTCAGTTCTGTTTATTCTTCTTCTATTCATCTTTTTCCTTTTTTAGTTGTTTTTCTCCAAATGAATCAAAGGCCCAGTCCCTCATTTTCCCCCTATTTCTTACAATTCATATCTACGCTTGGGAAATGATTGACATTCATAAAGAAACTGTTTAAATAATACCATGATAAATCAATTTGTCAACTTCTCGTACAAATTAACTTTCTTTTCCCTTAGTACTCTCGCTTTTACTACTTTCTTAATGTCACATGTGATTGGATGAATAATTCAATCAGTTTCATACAATTTGCCATAGGTTTGTTTCATTTTTCTGCGATTGTCTATCTAGTACATGTCTGAGTGTCTTTGTATGAAATACATTCATGTAAGAAGTACCAAATTTGTTTTTAAAAATGCTTTTGACACACAAACACACACACGCACACACACATCCCCGCCCACACACATAAATACAAAATAACCTTCCAAATTACTGGGTGGGGGTCGAAGGTTTGGGGCATGTTACATCATCCGCGTACACGAAAACTCGTAAAAAGGGTGCGCACTACACATCCTCCTGTTATCCGATTTTCATAGTAAGGGCGGTTGTATTAAATATGTAAATCTAATCAATCATCTTCCTAATTTAGGTTGTAAAGAATGATAAAAATATTAAACGACTTGAAATTTAGTGCATTTAGCTATTCTAGTCAGAATAACAGCTGAATTGGCTTGATTTTTTTTCCCTTTTAGGCTAGAAAGTCTAGGAAGAATCATTCGTCGAATAGGGTGTACAAAATCATGCAAGATATAAAATATATGTTGCAGCAGCGCACGAAACGTCGTGATCTTTTGATCCCTTGTTGACCATACATTGCGAGACAAACGAATGTCACTAGCGATATTATTTTCAATATAAAATGCCTGTTAAGGGTCTATTAATCGGAGGTGTTAGAACGGTTTCCCTGTCAATGGTATCGAACCTACTCTTGACTACGATCCTTGTTAAGGGTGCTTTTCAGAAAGTGATAGATATGGCGCTTGGAGGAGTCTAGTGTAGCTTAACCTCTGGTTCAGGAGATCGCGAACCTCGAGGATTAGACTCAGCCGGCCCCGTACCAACAGCAGCAACAGCATCAGGAGGGTTCGACATCAGACTTGGAATACCTTCGTCCCCATCAGTACTGACAAACGAACCTGTTTCAAGGGATTAAAAACAACAAACGCATGCTGTTATTACAAGTAGTAATAGTAGTATTACAGGCTTTTCAAGCTATCTAACTTTTACTACTTTCTCCTGCTTTGTTCATTTATGTACCATGCTCCATTTTCCCCAAAAAATATCTTAAATTTTCTTACCCTTTTTCAATTTTTCTAATTTTATTTCAAATTATCTAACAAAATTTATACAAAGCATTCATGCAGGATAATCTTTACTTACGAAAACATTGAAGAAATACCGTATATCTTTTGTGAAAATTTGAAAACTGTCTAAACCCATGGTATTTGCATTTGTATAATAAATTGTGCTAGTGTACCAACATACATATGTGATTTACGTCTTGCCAAAGGACATTAGTGACGCGGCGGCACTTGAACCCCGCACCTTTTTCTTTGCAGACGGGTGACTTATCCACTAGCCCACAACACCTCTAAATGTATAAATTAGGAGATCTACATGTAACCTATTCTCTCCTGAAACTTAAACCTTTCGCTCTTCACCCATACAACACAGATGGAAATAAACCAAAGGACATCAAAACCTTAGTATATCCGCAATAAAAATAATGACAAATTTCTCGTCAATTTCGATTGCTAACATTTTTATATCCTTAGAAACAAGGCTACATGCTTACAATATATAGTCACCCCCCCCCCCCCCAACCCCCAACACCCGAGCATCCCCTGAAATCACTACATATCAGTAACAGTGACTTTACATCTGCCCAGCAATTAGGTCGTGTGTACTGTACTTACTTACTGCTCGCACTTCGTTCCCCCAAATTTAGAGTAGGACTTACTGAGAAGTTGGTTAGGTGAGAATGTCAGCAGTCAATTTTCTTAGGAAGGTGGGCCCGTGATAAAAGAAAACGTTCATCATCACAATTGTGTAAGTCAAATGCAATATCGGCGACGCATGGATTTTTTCAGGCACGAACACAACTATTTCCGAAAAATCAATTCAAGGAGAATTAGTATATCTTCTTGAAATTATAAAAGTACCGCAGTCATCTATTCTTTGCTTTCTTTCATTAAGAACAACATATTTATGTCGACAATTAGTTTTTCAGGCCATCCTGTTGAATTGTGGCATTTCCCAGAATAAGAAAAGGTAAAATTACTGACTAAAGAGACGTGGAGAAACAGACGTATGGCGACAGGTAGAGATGGAGAGAACATGGGGATGGTCACTTGAAAGAGGGAGGAGATTTAGGCAGAAACTGAAAAAGATATTAGACGATGTACACATAGTCAGCGACTGATAGTGAGAGGGGGAAGAGGTAGACACATCAAAAGAGGTAGACCTACTTCATAGTCAGAGACTGATAGAGAAAAGTGAAAAAGATAGACAGATACAGACAGAATGAATGGGAAAAAGCGGGGACAGAGAGTGACAAAAAGAGACACAAACCAGCGATCCTAGTTTTCAGGCCATAGCCCGACATTCTATTGTACAGTACATAGAGGACGCACACATTTCTCAGTCGCTTTTCAGGCTAATTGGGTGTAACCATCGGGTGTCCCTGTAAAGAAGAAGAGGTCTTGCCTGAACCGGAACTGGGGCTGGTCACAGGGCCAACGGCGCTTAATGGCGGGCTAGGAGCCACTGGTCCAATTGGTGGACTCTTGACCTTCTGCTTGACGGGTTTAGTTGGGACGGAGCGTTGCCTCTCATGAATCATTTCTAGCCTGGTCTCGCATCTGGACTTGGCCATGTTGACGGTCTCTCGATCTAATTTGGGTACCTTAGTGTAGATGCGGAAGGAGACGTCTACCGGTGGCAGGTCGGCTTGGAGCTGGTTAAAGATTAACGATGCAACGATCAGTATAGGCTTATTATCTAAAGTGCTGCTTTTAGTAAAAATTTGATTAATCTTATTGATGACTTATAAACACTAGAGCCTAACCCACGCAAAGGACTATACAGGGTCTATGGTAGCCTATCCGATATGCGTCGGGCTTTATGGCAAATATACTGATCGCGTTATGGAGACTGACATCGGCGCGGGCGTCAGCCCGAGCGCCTATCATCACTGGTCAACTCATCATTATTCATATAATGTGTATCGTATGTGTGACGAGCGAATTCTCATGCATGATTTATAAGACTAACCTTATTTGGTGATTGATCACTTTGATTCAACCAATCAAATATCATCTCCAGGTTCCTCATCGCTCATTGGCCTATTTTGGTCCATGCTATATAAATATTCATGAAAGAGCTTCACAGGGGGTTCGTAGATTTTCTACGAACGAAACATTGTACATAAAAGAAAATAAAACTTATCGCATTTACCAGTGATGATAGGCGCTCGGGCTGACGCCCGCGCCGATGTCACTCTCCAAATAAACGCGATTAGTATACTTGTAAAGCCCGACGCATATCGGATAGGCTAGGTATATGGTTGAACAATTTAACAACACCTGTATCGGGAACTTTTGATGGATCAATGCTCCCATATTGCTCCGGTTGTCTCATTTTTGCTCGCTGGACGTATATAGCAGACGACAATCGGCGGATTAGACGACACTTGGTAGTGAATTTGTATGTGAGATTGCTTTGATAAATATTAATACAAGAACACTTTCCATATCTTTAAACTATCATTGATATCTGATAATTAAACAGTTATTAAAATAAACCTACCAAACTACATAATACAATGAAATACTTGACTCAAAGTAGGGAGTTTGGTGTGGTGCATAATGGCACCCCTCTGTAAATAATCGAATAGTCCATGGCGATCATGAATATTCATGTTTTTGCTTACCTCGGCAAAATGTTTGCTTATCTTCAATGGACAAATTACGGTGGGGGGTTGGCTGAAATAGACATAATGAACCGATCAGAACTGATCTATTATAATTCATGCTTCTTATCCTTCGTATGCTTGACCTAAAACCTTACAATCGCTTGGCAAACTGAGTCCAAAGTTCGACTTGTTTCACATGTGTTATATAGGCAATGGCGAGCTTGCAACCTATTTTGATCAAATTACGGTGAGTGAACTTTCAAAAGTCAATGAGACATGAGGGTTCCAAAGAAAGAGCTAGTGATAACGTACGTCGGGGTGGAAAAATGAATTTTTAACGATTTTTGTTTGTGTGTGTAAAATTCCATAGGCTAACATGTTAGGCTGCTGACTCTGACGATAGGGGGCGTTGTCAAATGAGACTAAGCGGAGCTATATGCCAGTTTTATAGGTCGATCTTAATATTTGTGATGTTATGGTTGCTGTATCCCGACCTTTATTTTAAGGTTCTGTGATATGGAATCCCTTTTGAAAATTTATAAATTTGAATACCAATGAGTACAAAGATACATCGAAGTGATATAATTGCTGCCCATTTCTATCCAAAAAAATCCTTCTTTTTTGTTAGTCCGAAGTTTATAAGTTGTTCAGTTTAGTCCGACTTTATTTATTAGTCAGAAATGTCTTCATTGCGAAGATTTTATAGTTTCGACAGTATAGTTCTTTGATCGAAAATCCGAAGGGTGGTTATTTAGACGCTAGTCGCGTCGATATTTTGCTTTGTCCAAATTTGTGTGAGAGCAGAGAGAAGGATTGCTGTATTCGCATTGTTCTAGTATGAACAGCATTGTCATTGGGGAATTTCATAGTCTAAAGTTTTATTTGCAGATTAATCTATCAAAGTTACCATCAGACTAATAAGTAGATTCTCATGATCAAACTGTTTTGCAAAGCAAACTTTTGAAATCCCTTGGTTCATAAGTCTTGTTCAGATGTAGCGGTAAACCGCGGTGGTTTGTTTTAGGATGACGTAAAGCGCCACACGCTTCACATTTCTCATTTCATTTGTACAGAGCTATTAAAGGTCCCCTTCAACCAAAACAGGCTTAAAATTGAAAACGTGACATGAAGAAAAAGAATTGACGGAGATTCCGAATATGACGATGATTCTTCTTAGAAATCATCCATTATTCTGGAATCTAGCTTTAAAAATGACGACTCAGAACACTCAGAAAAAAGCCCAGTTTCGGAGCTGTATTGCGCAATAGCATATGACGTCACTGCAGGAGACAACATTGGCATTATACACAACATAACATAGCATTGAATGGAGATACCCCAATCGTCGTTATGCACTACACACTAAGAAAAATGGTGCAAGTATGAACCTTTAGGGGTGCAAACCGATGCAACACTGGCAGCACCTTTAGGGGTTAAATCTTGCACCCTTTTTAAAGGTGCAATCCTGCACCCTTTAAAAGGGTGCCAGATTGAACCTTTTAGGAGACCTATGTTAGTACCCTTTATGGTTCCATCACGCACATTTAGGGGTGCAAACCGATGCAACACTAGCAGCACCTTTATGGGTTCAATCCTGCACCCTTTAAGAGGGTGCCAGGTTGCACCTTTTAAGAGACATGTAGTACCCTTAATGGTTCAATCCTGCTCCATTAGGGGTGCAAGCCGATGCACTAACAGCACCTTTAGGGGTTCAGTCCTGCACCCTTTAAAAGGTGCAATCCTGCATTATAAATGACGTTAATGCGTCATTTATTTATTTATTTTATTTATTCACGAATATTTAGACAGAGAAGCCTGATCAGTATTAAAGACATTAACAAAGATACAAATTTACAAATGAAATATAAAAAAGCAAATTTACATAGTCTAAAACACAAACATTTCTTAAATTGTGACAAGATACAGCAAATACTTAAAATAAGTTACAAGCTGGTCTTCGTCAGGGCTCTGTTTGCATATGATTAAAACTGACCTATAATAGGTCAACATAAATGGAACCAAAAAGTGTGAATATTAGAATAAAAGACAACAACAAATTGATAATCAGGGACGATTTGAGAGTAATTAAAACATAGAAAACAAAATTCAACATGAATTATCAAGTAATGTTGATATCGTCATCAGGCCACGTGACCGTATTTACCTTTTTTCCAGGGGTTTTTTCCAGCAAGCGTGATATCTGTGAAAAATGGATGGTTATTATCATTTTTTGGTCAACATAGAGATTATCTGAAAAATCTTAGGCGGGAATATTAATAGGTAGAGGTGAACTCGTGCTTTAAAGGCACACTGTCCTACTTGTAGCTACTTGCTCCCTCTATATAGAAAACTTCCCAAATCGGTGCCTGTTGGTCCCCCATGATCCTCTTTTTCTTATGCTAAATGAGAGCTGAGTTAATGAGATAGCCACCTGTCACAGTGACCTCGATGGCTCTCTGGGTGGTCTAATCCCTTCTAGCTGCAGTAGTAAAGCCTCCCTTTAAAAGGCTACGTTTCCGTTGATTCACACGTAACAAATATAAACCGTGGTTATTTTTTTATTTTTTTTGGGGGGGGGCGATTACAGCGTCTTTTCTGAACCAGCCTTTAGAGAGATTCATCCTAGAGTTATTCGCAAAACGGTCCGCTAGTGCGGGTCGATGTTTTTTTTTAATTCTGAAGGTTAGTTATTTGGCAGTTTGGTAAATCGAAGGATCGATGATTATAATAATAGTAATAATGATAACAACAGTAATGGTGATAATAGTAATATGAATGATAATGATAATGATAATAATAATGACAATAATAACGATAGTAATTATGATAGTAATGAAGCCTCGACAGCAAGTATCTATTAACACCTGGGTGGAGAGTGGCAAAGATAGATTAATGCCTTGCCAAAGGATGCTAGTGCCGGGATTCGAACCCTCAACCCTTGGATTGACAGTCAAGAGGATGAACCACTATACCACGACATCTCCAATTCGTACAATATATATATATATAAGCATACTTATCTCTAAAAGTGCCGGGCTGGGATTGAAACCCAAAACCCTTGGGTTTAGAGTCAAACAAATGAAACACGATACCACGACACCTCCCCGTGGGTAGATTTGTAAAGGTTTGCTTAGTTTCAGACGCAGATCCAGGTAACCAAGGGAGCCTCCCCCCCCCCCCCTCCCCCCTCCCACCAAAAAGAGAGACACAGAGAGAGAGAGAGAGAGAGAGGGAAAAGAAGGGATAGGAAAAGAGGAGAGAAAAGGAAAGAAAGAAGAGGAAGAAAACAAGAAAAGGGGGAAAGAGTAGATCAAGGGGGAGGGGGCGAAAGGACCTCGCCTCCAAGACTTTTACCTCTACCCCCCCCCCCTCATCAAAAAAAAATTGACAGAGAAGGAAGAACAGGGAAAGAAAAAAGAAAAGAGGAGACAAAGTGAAGGAAAAAAGAGGAAGAAGAAAAGAAGGGGGATATCAGTTGCAGTTTTTTCGCCAAAAAGTTGTGGATGGTGGGGGGGGGCAAAAGGCCCTTGCCTCCTCCCTTCCCCTTTGCCCCCGCCAAAAAAAGAGAGAAGCCAGGAAAAAGGAAAAGGGTGAAGAGAAGGGGAGAGCAAATGCGATTAATCCAATGCCAACAACGTGTGCATCGGAGGGGCCGAAAGGCCCTTGCCCCCCTCCCCCCAGCAATCCTAAAAGAGAGAGAAGAAAGGTAGGGGAGATCAGTTGCGGTTTTCCCGCCAACAAGGTGTAGATCGGGGGGCCACTGGCATACTGATAAGGTGGGGCTTTGGGGGGGGGGGGAGGCAATTGCCAAATATAATTCAAACGTAGTTAATTCCTAATTCGATACCGGTGATTTACAAATGTTGCTGAAATTACATAATTTTTCCGATATTTTTACCTCACTTTTTAGTAAATTATATTTTGTATGCGTTTGTTGGAAAATGACAAATTCCTAAATTTAGAGCCAAGCGCGCCAATTAGTGTCCTGCCAGTGTCTCAAATAAGGTATCAAAATATGCTCATCTGACCGTAATTAAACGCCTAAAATCCCTGAGCATCTGGGGACTCTGCCCCTGGGTCCAACCAATGGCCCTAAAGCGGTCACCTGGATGCTTATCTGATCGTCATTTAATACCTAAAACCCCTGAGCTTCCGGGTACTCCGCCCCTTGGACCCTACGCCAATTAGTGTCCTGCCAGTGTCACAAATAAGGTATCAAAATATGCTCATCTGACCGTAACTAAATGCCTAAAACCCCTGAGCTTCCGGGTGATTTTTCCCCTGGACCCCACCTAGGGCCACAAGGCGGGCCTTAGATGCTCGTCTGACCGTAATTAAATGCCTAAAACCCCTGAGCTTCCAGAGACTCCGCCCCTTGACGCCCACCGGGGCTTTGCCTCTAGACCCCACGCCAATTTACGCTGCGCTCTACCTGATCGTATATACTTTAACCTTCCTCCACCAACTTTGACAACCGTTCAGCGGGGCCTGCATGTAAGAGTGGGGTGATACGGATTTTTTTTTTTGTCTGCCCCTCAACCCCCCCCCCCCCCCCCCAAAAAAAAAAAAAAAAAACAAAAAAAAACAAAAAAAACAAAAACGTCACTGCTGGTCACCATTCCGTACCAGTATTTGGCTCGCATAATTTTAAATTTGGGCCCCCCCCCCTTAAGAAATCCTGGATCCGCGCCTGAGTTTACATAGGTCATGTCTTAGTACACTTACCTCGTCCACTGGTAGGAACTCGGCAACAAATGTACCATCACTTGATTCCTTGTAGAACGGGATATTGATGAGAGGGTTTCTGCCTCCACAGTCAAATCGTGATAACTATCAGTAAATGAGAAAAAAAAGTAAAAAAAATGAAAATAAATTAGAATACGCAAAATATTTCTTAATTTAATTTTACATATTTGTATATCTCTCTTTAGTATGTTGAATAAACCTCGTGACCATATTTTCCCTCAGCGCTGCGCGCTTCGGGAAAATATAACCACTTGGGAAATATAACTCCCTTCAGGTCCAAAGAATGATATATTACACCCCCTGCCAGTCAATAACTGTTATATTAGATAGCCTTGGGGTTTTTTTTGTGTGGGGGGGGGTCCATTTTTTTATAAAAAAATTGGGGGAAAAAAAAAAAAATCTAACCTTAAAAAACATTGATATCACGTGACGAGCTCTGGACCAATCACATCTCGGTATCTGTCTAAGCTATCTAATATAAACGGCTATGCCTCTCATAGCAGTCAATATATCTGTATTATTAAAGCCACCACAGGATTGTTTTCGTAAATGTGTTCATAGAAAAAGAATAGTTTTATTTTAGTTTCCTCCACGGTACACTATTTTATGTCGCTGACAATCTTTGAAATTGATATATAATATATTAAACACATAAGGGTGTCGCTAGAACCAGTTGAATTGGGTCCGGTAGCAGGTCAAATTTACCGACAATTTAGCCCAAGCTAATTCTCACAAGATTAAAAGAGTTTTAAAAATATATATATTTTTGGACGATCATGCGTCCTACCAGATTATGAAAATGTATATGCAGTGACCTGACCTTCTGCCGTAAGGGGGGGGGGGGGGGCTTTCGTTTTTCCGATAGCTCATAATTTCGAAACACAAACTTCCTTTATTAGGGGTTCCTAATTCCCTATTTGTTGCGTTACTTTGAAGGTTCCTTGATCTGAAGGTTCAGAATTCTGAAAATGAAGAAGGGTTCATTATTACAAAGGTCCGTAATTCTGAAAAGTAAAACATTTAGGTTCGTAATCCCGAAAACGAAATACGGTTCATGAGTCCGAATATGACAAAGAGATCATCATTTCGTAAGTGCGAAATTTGAAGAAGAATATTATATAACGAACCCTATTTCTTTTCAAGCATTACGAATCTTTATAATATCGAACCTACGGAATGACGACACTGTTCCCTTACAAAAATGCTACAATTGGTAATACCTTGACTGAGATGACTTCGATATTGTGAGCTTGCCATATCTCACTTGAAGATGAGGACGAAGGTGATGAAAGTTCGTCAACATCAGTTAAGATCTCCCGCTTAATCTCAGCTGGATCCATTGTACCCATCTTTAATTAGAACAAGAATTATCGTGAAATATATTTATATATATATGTATTCTTCTATATTCCCGTTGGAACCTGTTCCTCTGGTGATTCTATATATATATATATATATAAAATATGTATATATACATATATGTATAGGTACATGAATGTATTTTTAAGTATGTACCCTTCCACCAGTCACTTCAGGGTCTAGTAGTTCACACCCGTCCTGGCTTGTCCTCGCCCATGTGAAACTGCCACGAGTTCCCCCGAGAGAGGGCCGTTAATAACTTGCAAGAGCTACCGGTACCTACCCACCTTTATATACCATGTTGGTCATAGAGGTGTTTATGTGATCATATTAGACCCGGTCTGGTCATGACATAGCATTGCGAGAAAAACATTGTGGAATCGATCAGAAAAGGTTGATCATCTAGCATATAAGTGTTGGTGTGCCATGTACTGCAAGGTTCTGGAATCATCAAAATGATAAGAAATTTGGCCCAGTTTTGGATAAGTTACAAGCACTGTACACAAAAAGATGTATATGGGACTACACAATACCTATCCAGGCCGGATCGATATGATAATTTACCAAATATCAATTAGTAAGCGGTTTCCCGGCAAAATTTGTATCGTCACGTATTAGTCAAAACATATCCTTTCACATGATTTGTAATAAGAGCTTCCACTTCATTTTTTGAGAGGGGGCGTTTCCAAAACTGGTCTATACCTTTAACAACTAAATCTACTACAACATCAGCCATCACTCCTGCTACTGCTATGAATATCATTTTTTAGTAGTCAGTAGATTTTATTATATTTATTTATGTTTATATTTTTCTCAGTTCTTTAGTTAGTTTAGTTTATAAGCATTTTAAGGTATGCATTATTTTTATCTGACGTGTTTGTTCATTTAGGACATACTCATAAGCCACTCATGGGGGACCTTAATTCCACACTCAAGCCTCGCTTTTAACCAAGGTCACCTTATCTTTCTATTGTAACGCCATATTCTGTCAACTTGTTTATATTCATGTCATATTTGCAATGTGTGTTATGAAAGAAAGATAAATAAAACTTGAACTTGAACTTGTTAACTATTATTCTCTTTAAATTCAGGCTATTCTACTGACACTTCTTCAGATACATGTTGCCATCTGCTGGTAACAGTTTCTCACTGTGTTGACAGCCATGTCCCACAATGCATCATCAACTGATGACGCGCTTGATGATGTACGGGACCCAGAATCGTTCTATGTACGCATTCACTGAGATATGGCGTAGTTGGAGCTACATGACAGCAGTGGTAGCCATGTCGGTAAAATACCCTGCCTTTAAATCATTAAATAAATTTAAAAGACGTGAAAATACCTCTTCTTTGGCATGCTTGCATTCTGCAATGCAATGATAGAATTCTCTCCTGTGTATCCGGTCTATTATCTCCCGTGCCTTCATCATTCCTGGTTCTTGAGATAGTGATTGCCTGATCGCGTTTACAATGGTGTCATCGACTTGGCAGAAGGCCTCGGGGTCCTTCACAGAATCCAATAATTTGTACTTCTTTCTGAAACAGTTTCATACGCAAATGCAAAACAAAGTTATGAAAGTTATGGTACAGGAGGCAACCTGTTAAAAATCCAGTTAACCAGTCGATCAATTACATTATCACATACTACCCACATTCAACGACTGTATCATTTTCCCATTAACTCTTTTTACATCCATAACACGGAATTACACAAATGAAAAGCAACACAAGGAATGTTGTTCCGATTTGTAAAGGAAACTTACCCGCCTTCACCAACGAATACGAGATGATCAGCTGCTTCTTTGAAAGCGTCCTTCAGCCTACAAAAATATTAAGAATAAGGTTTTGTGATATGTATATATATGTATATATAAAACAAATAACTATTACGGGTTTAGATGTATTTCCTCAGATAGTGAATTCAAAATTACAAATGATAAACAAGTGCAACAAACTGTATACAAACAATGAGGACAAGCGCATTGCGCAACAAGCAGCAACAAGCAGCAACAAACCATGGTGTAGACGAAGAGATGAAAAAAGGAGCTCCTGCCACGAGAACAGAAAAAGGGAGTGGCTGAGGATCAGCGACTCTATAACGAGCAGATCGTTAAAAGCATGACGGAGAAGTGTGAGGGGATACAACATCAATCACCGTCGATGGTATGCTTAAGTTAAAAACAAAGTCCAAGAATACCACTCTTTAAACAGATGAAAATGTTGCCTTTATACGATTTGACTACATTCAATACTCTCGAAGGTATGTACTCTGTAGGACATAAAACTTTCCCCGATAAGTATGATAAGTTTGTGCTAAATTCAAACGTTCATTAATATGCCACTCGTCAAAATGGCCATTTTCATCAACCCAAGTAAGATTTACTACTTCGCTTAAATCATTACATGTTGCTGGCGTATAATAATGGAACCCACTTCATTCAAATTAAGTTAAATTTTAACCTGTTTATAAAAGCTTCGTTGCAAATACCCATTTGAAAATTTGGTGACAATACAGTCATTACAAAGTAAGTTTACAAAATCTATTTTTTTCATATTGATAACTTTTTACAAACGCTTTCGTGTACTTTATGTGTGTGTTTGTATGTTGGGTATAAGTGTGCAGGTATGGTGATTTATTATTATTTTGTTTAATTTGTTTTATGTGATGCCCTATTCATAAGCGATTTGCCTTTTTGTTGCCATGGTCATGTATTTGCTTTTTATCTCATATGTTTAATGTATTCTTTTTTCTTTTCAATATTTTGCTTTTACATGTATGTAGATCAGTAAATTCAATTTAATTCAAAGTCGTCAAGCAAGAGAGTGGTACGTAGGGTAAACAACTTTTGTTCCTCTTTATATAGATACCATCTTTGTTATGATTTTCCACGCATGGAATGAGCAGTACAAAGCAGCACAAAGATCAGGGTCAAAAGAGAAAAATTGCAAAATGCACAAGTACGCACTGGCATTGTTATGCAGACCACTCATCTTTCTTTGACATAAGTGATTTTTGTAAATGATAGTAGAGCTGCTTTACCCCCAAAGCATCAAATCTTACCAGACATTTCACCATAGTGCATGCATTTTATTCTCAGATTCTTTACAATGTGGCATTCATGGATGTCCATTTGGGAATAATAGCCCCGCAGTCATTTAAATAATTACACAACTGCTTACCAGTGCATTTTGCAACTTTTCTCTATTGACCCTGTCCCTTATTTTGATGTACAGCTCTTTCAATGGGTGGAAAATCCTTAAAAACCTCTCTCAGGTATGATGCGTAATGTATTCAAATCAAATTAAATCAAATCGAGTGGAACTTTTTTTCTTCTAATTACATGATGGCGATGACCTCGCTGTGCCTATCCTGGTAAGATGCGTAGTTAAGCTGGCGGCTTGTGAGAAACATTTGGTTTAGATCTCTCGCTACCTAAGACAAGGAAGAAGATGAAAGTTCATTTCGAAAGAAGGACAATATAAATTTATTCGATTAACCATATTTCGAACACGAAGTACACAATGAAGTAATATTATACAGTAGGCTTGCGGGTGCACCATGTGAGACAGAGGGAGGATTGAGGAGTCCTGAAAAGGATTCTCGGTATTAAATCTTTCTTGAGGGTGTGTAGTTCCTGAAAAGGACTGTTGGTGTAGTCTTGAAAAAGACTGTTGGCTATCTTTCTTAGCTTATAGTTCTAAGGAGAACTATAGCGCTTGGAGAGGATGAGTAGCGGGAGTGGCTCGACGTTTCGAACAGGTTGACTATCCGTCGTCAGGAGTGTGAAGTAATATTATTATGGTTAGGTTTTGTAGGATGAGGTGTGGTACAGAAGTAATATTTGTATGGTTAGGTTTGGTAGGGTGAGGTCTGGTACAATGCTAGGATCCGACAATAACTCATACGTTGTTGAGGCTCGGGCTTGCACCCTATTTTCGAGGTTCTGCTATTTATACAGTTTCCATGATTTTGGGTGAAGAATTGAACCTGCATTTTTATGTGAGTGTATACCTCGTCTCTAAAGCAGAGTTCCCTCCTGGTCTTACTGCCTCGCTTAACATCGAGAATCTTCACGGAGGACAGAATACTTTTGAAGTCGAATGTAGACTTCCTGCCTACATGTAGGTAGTGGGCGCCCCGAGCAATATAGTCCCATCTGTCCACGTCCATCCCGTATACGCTGTTGTTCACTAACTGATACAGGCAGAACTTGTTCTCACGAAGCTGAAACATTTTAAAGGATATTGTGAGAGAACGTTACAGAGGCAGGCAAAGACTCACAGAGAGAGGCAGGAAGAGATTCAGAGAGAGGCAGACAGAGACTCAGAGAGAGGCAGACAGAGACTCAGAGAGAGGCAGACAGAGACTCAGAGAGAGGCAGGTAGAGACTAATAGAGAGGCAGACAGAGACTCAGAGAGAGGCAGACAGAGACTAAGAGAGAGGCAGGCAGGCAGAGACTCAGAGAGGGGTAGGCAGAGACTAAGAGAGAGGCAGGCAGAGACTCAGAGAGAGGCAGGCAGAGACTAAGAGAGAGGCAGACAGAGACTCTGAGATAGGCAGGCAGAGACTCAGAGAGAGGCAGGCAGGCAGAGACTCAGAGAGGGGTAGGCAGAGACTAAGAGAGAGGCAGGCAGAGACTCAGAGAGAGGCAGGCAGAGACTAAGAGAGAGGCAGACAGAGACTCTGAGATAGGCAGGCAGAGACTCAGAGAGAGGCAGGCAGAGACTCAGAGAGAGGCAGACAGAGACTAAGAGAGAGGCAGGCAGGCAGAGACTCAGAGAGGGGTAGGCAGAGACTAAGAGATAGGCAGACAGAGAATAAGAGAGAGGCAGGCAGAGACTAAGAGAGAGGCAGGCAGGCAGAGACTCAGAGAGAGACAGGCAGAGACTCAGAGAGAGGCAGGCAGAGACTCAGAGAGGGGCAGGCAGAGACTCAGAGAGAGGCAGGCAGAGACTCAGAGAGAGAGGCAGGCAGACAGGTGGATAAAGGCACAGAGAGAGTATCAGACGGACGGACGGAGAAAGAAAGACAGAGAGGGGCAGACTGAGTATGTAAGAGAAAGAGACAGGGAGAGACAGACATGGTGTTGGCAAGAGCCATACATAATTATAGACGGTTAATGGAGATAGAGTAAGTGAGGGGGAGAGGAGAGAGATATAATATATTTTTTATGATTTCTTGTTATTTTGTCTTGTGTTTTGTTCATCTAATTTCATGTGACATCACCATGCATTTGTTTGTTCTCTGTTCACGAATAACATTTTTTTAATGTTTAACTCAATTCCCTTTTAGTACAATTTGTGAATATGAATACAAAGTTTATAATGATTAAGACAAATTATCAAAAACATTTCCTACAAGATACCAATGCACATGCAAAGTCCTCCAAAATAATGAAATTTTCGAGTAAAAATTGTATTTATTTATTTATTTATTTATTTGTTTTGTTTTATTTACCCAGGGTAACCCCATCAGTGAGTAAAACACTGTTATACTCGGGGGCCCTGCTAAATTAACACAAGTATGTCAACGGTAATCAGACGACTTTGCCAAGAGGAAATCAGGAGCTTGGACAACTCGAACCCCTCCCCTCCCCTTCCCCCCCCCCCCCCATTCTTTTGCTCACTCTCGCTCTCTCTCTCTCTCTCTCTCTCTCTCTTGATGATCTCATTTATACCATTTCGTCATCCTCTTTAACACCCAGAATAAGCTGACAGATGAAGTCGATATCTTCGGCGTAGATTTTTAGATCTGCGAGCTTCTTCTCTAGGCTGTTATGCTTGATGAGATATTTGAGCATGAAGACCGCCTGCTTATCAGGCTGCAAAGATCATGGAGGAAATGATAAACTTGGGTTATTATTAAACACATTTGAATAGGAATAAAGAACACCCGATCTCAAAGACTTTCGAAAAAGCGAATAAGCACAATTTTGACTCCTTTTTTAAGCAAAAGCTAATATATGTCTTAAAAAATACAAATTTAATGTAAACATTACGAACAGGCTATTTTGCAGATAAATTTTGATTATTTTTTTGTTCTTCTTATATTTTGACTTAAATTATACATTTACGATATTTTTCACCAAGCCACTCCTTGCCGTCCAGTAAAACGCTTTTCAATACTCACATTGCAAACATTAAAATATCCATTTTGTCTAAATGTCATCCTCTCCTTCTGTCCCCCTGAAATATGACCCTATTAACTGGGAAACCCAGAAACGGATTAAATAATCCTGTGACAAGTGTAACTTTAACTAATATGCATTTGCATATGTATGGTTGTTAGCAATGAACAAGGGGACCGACGACCAAAAGTCTCCGAGTGACTGGTTAAAGAGGATTAAAGCCTTCCAAAAGGGCAGTGACGTGGCTAATCGATTTGGTTTCGAACGCGGGACCTCCTGGTTACGAGACCACTGCTCTACAACTGATCCATCGTGCTCTTATTTTTTTAACTCACTTTCCATTTGTTGCCATCTTCATATGGTTGTATGATGTCTTCAAAGGCATGAGAAAAGGGACCGTGTCCGAGGTCATGGCAGAGACCGGCGATCTCAACACAAGCGACCTCGGTGTTCTGAATAGGGGTGCTGCTGTTACGATCATTCTCTTGGAGCATTAAGGCCAGTTTGCCCCCTAAGTGGCTGACACTGCATTGAAAATGGAAAGTAATATAGTCTGAAATAATGAAATTTTGTTTATGGTCTTTTATTAATATAAAAGCTTCTTACTGTCATAGAAACTGACATTTGATTTCATTTGGAAAAAGTACATCAACTTCAGGTCGGAAAAACACAAGAGTAATTTTGTCTTCTTGTCTTTATAAACACAGATTTTTTTATTATTTGTCTTCCTAAGTGAATTTGTCTGGTCAGGACCCAAATTCTGTGGCATTTCCTCGCATGAACAAGAAATTAAACTTGACAATATCCATTTCACCCACTCCTGCATTTGTTATACGAGCCTTGCTTTGGCGACAATTTATCCACGTGAATCACATACACTTACTGAATTCTTAACTTCGACACAATGCCCAACACTAACGCTCTACCAATTGCAAACATTCTGTTGATGAAAGAAAGCCCGTAGCAAGATCAAGCATCTCGCTAACATATGTCTCTGTTCCATGGAAGTTGAATTGCATGAAAATGAGGTTCGTTGTTTTTTCAGTGCTTTATATGATCTTTTAGAGATATTGTAATGTTATATTCATTAGACAGGCCTAACTAATACCGAGAGGGACTTTCGTTTTAAGAATGAAAACCTTATAATCGAATGAAGATAAGTTGTGGTGGAATATGTTGGTCAATATTCGTGGTATCGTGGTTACCTCTTTTATATTTATACTGGGTTATAATCTTTGGATCTTTATAATGGAAACACTACATCTGCTGTATCAAAGTAAAAAATCTGTGTTCACCATTTATTTGTAATTGTTTAAATGACTGAAATTATCTTCCATGGCCAATGTCACAGTTGTCTCCTCTTCCTCTACCACTTCTTCTTCTCCACCTCCTTTTTCATCTCGCCCTTCTCATTCATTTTCTAACGATCCCCTTTTCCCCTCTTTCTTCTTCTACTTTTGCTTCTAATAGTCCCCTTTTTTAGTCTGGATAAACCAGTATAACCTTTTACTAATAGAGTAGCTATTATCTAGAGTATATTTTTAATATGTACACTTTGTCATATTAGTATTTGTTTCGTACATAATTTCGCCTCTACCATTTGTAGTTTGTATAATGTGTAGTAGTTGGATATTAATTTCTTATGATACTGTTACTATTCGCACTACCCTCCGTCTCCTCTTGCTATCCCCATTTGAATCTTCTTCTTCTTCCTCCTTCTCTTCTACTTTTTTCCTCTTCTTCTTCTCTCTTTTATTCTTCCTCTTCATTTTCTTCTATATCTTACCATCTTACTATCCCCTTTTATTTTCTTTCTTTACTCTACATCATCATCATCATGTGCTGCTTCACTTATCTTTATCTCCTTTATAAATCAAATGATTTAGGGAGACCAAAAAAGAAAAAAGAATTTTCAAGTTAATTCATTTCATACAATTAACTCCTTTACGTTTTGTTCATTAATATTGATGTCATTTTCTATAAATATTTTTATATGTTGTATTTTACAATTGTAAAACATTGCCCAATTTGGCCATTTTGGCCGCGATGCATTGTTATTCTTTAATTCTAAATAAACACCATTATTCATTCAATTCAATTATCAGTACCATACATTGTACCAGGGACAATTTCTTATAACTGTGCAGTCGAAGCCAGGTTTAGTTCGAAGTGACTATTGGTCTTTCATTCGTTTCTTGATTTATATCTTTTCAACCGCTACTCGAGAATTTATTCCCGTTTCCATTTCTACCCGACCAAATAACCCTTAAATCTCTCATTATGAAAACTAAAAGTACCCTATTGAGTGTTCAAATCTGGTATGGACGGCGCTTGGGAACACATAATTGGTACAGCCAAGCTGCTTGATGAATCGTAGTCTTTGGAACTCCGGTGTATCGATAATTATCTGGCAATACTTCGGTATCTGAATAATGCCATGAATGAGGTCATCGAAGTCCTGTATTGAGAAAGAGAAAGAAACTTCATTCCGGAACCTTAAATCGGGGAATTTTCTCGAATCTAGCTTCCATTTTGTGTATTGATGGTTGATTTTTACATGACCCCCCCCCCCCCCCCCCCCCCACCCCCAAGAAAGAAGGTAAGAGCCTACAAACATGCAAAATACGCCGACGTACTGTTGGGCATCTCATTTTAATGTCACAACTTCTGTTGCAAAATCATCTCTATTGTGGAATGAATTATTGAAGGCAATATAAATACCAGGCGCGAATCCACGGGGGAGGGGGGAGACGGTCCTGCCCCCTGGCCCCAAAACAGGTTTAGAAAAAGATGGTAACGTTAAGTTTACCTAAAAAATATATATATATATTTTGTTTGTTTTTTGTTGGAGGGGGGGGGGGCTTAAGGGGGAGGTGGCGACGGGTGTTGTTGAGAACAAAGTAGTGCTCACTCACCACCCCCCCCCCCCGCTTTTTCACCGGCTGGCTGATTCGCCGCTAAATATTTTTTTCTACAAATTGCCCCCCCCCCCTCCCCCACTAAAAACTAGTGTTCCTTTTTTTTTAAAAAGGGTTTCTCCTTCTTTCATGTAAATTCTATTGTTATGCACGTGTACCAACCTGCTGAGATATAAAGCTTTATGGAATTATAGAAGTGAAATTAAAGGCTGCAAGTTTTCAACGTAAAATACATGTATGAATTCATTACAAATGGCATCTATTAAGTGTACACTCACGAAGGGAGAGGAAGATACAAAAATGTGTTATTGTTCATGTTCTTATATGTGAGCTTCTGTACATTTTTTGCAGAGATTCTTATTAGACAGCATGACTTGTCATAGATTTGCATTATATTTGCATTTCAGAATGTGCGTACACGGAAAAAAAATCAATAACAATACTCAGGCAACTATTAATCATGTATATCGCCATTCAAATAAAATAAGTCTATAGATGAAATGTTGTTACAAAAGTAGCTTAAAGGTACTATGTCCCATTTGCAGGCCAAAATAATGAATAAGTTAAATTCCAATGGCAATTGAAAGATAATACTAATTTAGAACTTCCTTCAAAACGAAAGGGCTTGAAAATATCTCTTTGTTGGAAAATAAGGACCGTTAGTTGTCGAATCGACTTTATAGATAACAATCCTTTCAGTAAATAGTCTGATTTTCAGACCCTTGTAACGAATGATCGTATGTCTTGTGCTGCGCAAATATTCAATCAGTTCAATTTGGTCGATTACAAAAAGTGGGTTATTGATGTAGACAAATGCTCATGTACCCTTTACAGCTCATGTTATGAATGTTATTACCAAAGAAAAAAAGAAATCACTTAGTCACTCAATAGTGTCTGACAGTGACGTTTAGAAAGAAAACGTGTTTCCTTGCATAATTTGAATACTAGGACACTGCTAACGTTTACATTTTACAGATAGGACATACGTGGCATATTCATAGTTCCTGCAAAGTTCTACAGAATTTGATGTTGGCTGCTAAAGGGATACAGTACTCTTAAATGCAAAGTTGAAATATATGAATAAATGTACTTACTCCTTCTTGTCTGCTATTCACACCATACCTGTCACGTGTGTCAGGGCTAAGTAATCTAGTATGTATATCTTCCTATTGAAAACATGAAATAAAGTTAAGCCTTAGATCATGATAGATTGAAAACACCACTGGCGTTGTAACTTCTAATGTTAAAAATATATGTGTTCATTTTAACGAGACACTGTCAATGTTAGACTATGTTTGTAAAAAGTGTGCCAGATAGCAAACTGCCACCTGAGAAAAAGCTCCAGAAAATCCCAACTAGAGGGGCTTGTCTGGTGTTTGGTGCAAAGAAGAGAGGACCCAGATATCCGTTGTTAAAACAATTACACTGGCTTCCAACCAAAGAACGCATTGAAGATAAACTGGCACTTTTGGTCTATAAATGCTTGATGAATACTTCTCTAAAACACCTCTCTGATCTACTGATCACCCCTTCTTTTTCCAAAAATCATCTCCGTTAACAGAACATAAAACATGACTTTAAAAATCCCACGCACAAACACCAAGGCATTCGAACTGTCATTATCATAGGCATGAACGGCTATATTGAATGCTCCACCACAACTCTCCACCTATTAACACAGAAGAAACTTTTTAAAAAGAAACTAAATAAATTACACTCTTCCCATATCGCCATTATATCAAGTTCGTGTTGGTGCTGTGAGTCAGAGATGTGTTAATATTACTAACACCTCTCTGATTCTCAACTGGACAGGTGATATACATCTCAAATGCCATTGCTATTATAATGTCCTTGTCTTTTATTATACTGTTATGAACATTGTAATTGCCCAATCTTTGTATATTAAGAAATATTATGTCTACTGCTAAGTGCTATAAGTGTAAATGTTATTGTTCCAATACATTCTTTTTTGAGGTATCAGCGCTCTTATCTGTATTCTGTAAAAACGCTTGACAATAATCAATTAGTATTATTATTATTATCAATTAATAATGCCCTCATCCACAAGGAATTTGTCATCTTAGATGTAAAATATATTTAACTAAATCGTACGTCCGAAAATCCCTGTGGAGGGTTTGGCCAATATTATTGTCCCACCACGATAATAAAGGAAACCATGATGTTTAGTGTGACGTCAATCGTATTATATATATATATATAGGTATATCCTGGACATACCCCGGGGGCATATCATGGCGCCACATTTCGAAGCTTTCGATAGTGCGACTTTTTACCATCTTATATTTTCAATAAGCTATTCATGGCCATGTTAGAACATGAAAATGGCGAAATTTGTAATTCTCCCTCTCTCATTCTCTGCCTTAGAAATGTAGGCCAAGACAATTTTTAGTAAAAGTATGGAATGTTGAAGAAGTCAGCCAAATAAGAAACAGACCAATTCAAATTGTAAACAAGATTCGATCTGGTAGAAGTTAAATGTGGCAGCGCTCTTCACGACATGAGTGTTAGTGCACTCTGTATATTCACAGCGTGTCCACACACAGACAAAATTATCCCGAAACGCTATTAAGAAACGTCGTAAAAAAGAATCATCGTAAAGCGAAGAGGGCGTCCACACGCAAGAACAAGTAATCCCGAAACTCTACAGCGAAACGTCACGTAGGTGTGCAGTTTGCTACTGCGCTACGCCGCGCCGCGGTCATGAAACGGAAGTGAAAATGAGAGGTCAGGTCTCCTTTCACGCAGGGTCGTGTAAAGCCCCGCCCAGTTAAACCGTTCTAGTCCGACCATACGTCCACACACAAAACATTCTGTGATTCTTTACCGAGTTCTAGTTCGAAACAATGCCAAGACCCGCGTTTCGTTATACATGTACGACGTTTTTTTTAATGACGTATCGTAGCGTAAACACACACTCTCATCGAATGAGTACTGCTCACTCATACCCCCCTCCTTTTGAGCCAAAACAAAATATGCTCCAATAGTGTCTGACAGTGACGTTTAGAAAGTAAACGGGTTTCCTTGCATAATTTGAAAACTAGGACACTGCTAATGCTACGGTCACAAAGGTTCGTACGAACGATAATTTCGTACGAATCTCCCTGTTTTTCTCCCATTGTCTTCCTGAATTTCCATTGTCTGAAAATCATTCATACGGCGTTCGTAGCAGTTCGTAATGGCATATATTTGTGACCGAGGCTTATCGTTTACATTTTACAGATAGGACATACGTGACATATTCATAATTCGTGCATAGTTCTACAGAATTTGATGTTGGCTGCTATGGATACAGTACTTTTACATGCAAAGTTGAATACAATAAATAAATATATGAATAAATGTACTTACTCCTTCTGGCCTGCTATTCACACAATCCCTGTCACGTGTGTCAGAGCTAGGTAATCCAGTATATATGTCTTCCTATTGAAAACATGAAATAAAGTTAAGTCTTAGATCATGATAGACTTCGTCCCGTAGG